GAGCGAAGAGTTTCCGTGCTGGAATTCGTAGCTTCTCTCTCGTTTCTTAGTTTTGTGGCAACAACAACCCTTTTTGAAACGATGTTCCAGGAAGCTATCGCGTACGAAACGTTGAAAATACAGCCCTCGGAGGCTCGAAGAACATACTCGTACGTGTAACGCAATAATTATCGTGGATCGTTACCCGCACGTGATAATATCGAGCTCGTTAAGATAATTAACGAAATTAGCCAGTGCTCGATAAGACAACTGTCGATTTTTCTTTTTTTCTCTTCCCCCTCTGCCTCTCGGTAGAAATTATTTAAACGGATTATGCAAATCTTTAATCGTCATCTCTTTTCAAGGGAAATCTTTAAAATCTTTTCGTAATCGTTTGGATATTTTTATTTTCGCGCCTTTTACGTGCAGAGCGAAAAATTCGGAACGAACCTTTTCACGTTTTTGATATGAAAAATCTGCTTCTTTTCTTGAAAGGATTACATTTGGCTTTTACAGAACCAGAGAAATCGATTTCCCAACAATTGCACATTCTTCCAGAACACTCGGAATAATAGGAAATAATTAACTTAGAATTTTTATGGATATTTAACTGGTAACAGATAACTGAAACTTTAAAAAGCGTTTTTCTCGGAATGAAAACCTTTCAAAACCGGCGGCAAAAAATAACTCTGAAGGCTACTAGATAAAAATTTGTGGCAATATTCTCAAGGCCGTTAGCTCTAGCACTTGACAAAGAGAAATTTCAATTCGCGCACTTCTTTTTTTTTTTTTTTTTCTTAACAAAAGGAGTTGGAAATTTATAACGAAAATTACACGTTCAAATTTAGATAACTATCATTTTTTAAAACTCTGATATTTCAAAAACTAGTTTTCTTTCATATACAATAAAACTAAAAAGGGTTTACTTTATGTAACATCTGATCGATGAAACAACCATAGCTAAATAACTACCGTATCTCCCTATCTTCGTATATTCAGTTCAAATTTTTAAGTAATTTTATCCCCCAAAAACATTCTTGGATTTTCTTTATTGAAGAAAATCAACTAAAACTAATTAATCAACATCGAGACAGAATATCGATGAAGCTGACAAAACGATGAGTAAGAAAATTACTCAGAACCTGTAACATTTCGATCAGCATCTTCCTTTGTCCCAGAGAATTACATCTGCCGCGATGATTTCACCGCGGGAAGAAAGGAGTTGTTACGTTCATAGAATGTTGCCCTCCTTTCATAATACGACTGGCAATTAACTGAACCGAGCAGCAGTTCAGAATGAAATTCTTGCGAATCGGGCGAAGGCGTTGGACATTCTACACGGGCACTTCTCCCAATGCGTCTTCGGCTGATGTGACACCTCGAACGAGCTATATATTGATACATAAGACTAGCACTAGCACGGTTTATCGAGGTGATCAATTACTTGCGTATTAGTGTCAAGATCGTTTCCAATTCGGAGCATGCGGTGCGTCCGGCTAATTCGAGCAGAAAAGTAAATAAACCTACTTGAGAACGACTGTCACTATTGAGAAGATTGTTTTAATGATAAATAATAATGCAATGTAAATAATGATAAATTTCGATCGAAATGTCCAAGGAGGAAAAATGTTTTTTTGTACGTCAATCGCTGGATGGAAAATTATGTTTCATTTTCAGCGTGTTAAAATTTATGAAACACACGCGCAAAGCACAAAGTGAAAAGCGAAGGACACGCAAGCGTTCAAATTAAACGTGATACTCTGTGCAACATATCAATTATCATATCGATAATGCTACAACGAATACCTCCACTCTCTTCTCTTCAGGGAAGCAGTTCAGATACATATATTTACTTATCGAATTTTGACACAGAATAAATATTTTTAATCAGAGATTTCTTCCTAGACGATATGAAGAATCGTTAGTATTTCCCAGACAGTGTGTGTGTGTGTGTGTGTTGATCACCTGAATTGCTTGCTTGTTTTCATCGAACGAAAAGACACAAATCCGTACGATTTGAAGCGTGGAGCGTGATTTTGAATCAGAGTTCAGAAACGCCATCAAAGGTTGAGCGAACGAATGACGGAGTCGACGTGGAATGCGACGATATCTCGTTCGAGGGATTGTCCAGCTACGCGAATGAACGCGAATCTGCTCGTCGACGGCGACGAATAGGAAACCCAAGGAACTTGGACTCTAGGCTTTTATCTATCGGATTCGCGGCTCGCGTCGAATTTCCAGCTGACGTTTCCAACTTCCCAGTGTGGAAAAAGAACTCCGTTTGCTTCTGCAACGCGTTTTATAAAATAAATTTCTTTTGTTCTTTAGCTTTTTTTTTCTTTTTATCAAAAGTGACTGTTTACCGTGAGTTAAAAAAAGTATTGGCATTTTTCCTACAATATTTTTGTCAAGATAAATGACAGACAAATTATTAATAAAATCTGTTTGCAAAAGTAATTTACCATGTAGGTAAAGTAGTTTCCAAAACAATGATGGTACAAGTAAAATTCGAGAATTAAAAAAGTATCGACACGCGAGCGATTTTTTTTCTTTGCAGTTCATGTATTTGAACGGAATATAAAATATTTTTATAGTTTAAAGACGAGCTTCCTTTCTTACAATTAGCGATAACACTCGATAATATTTGAACACTTGCAAAAGAATATTTTGTAATTTTTCTAATAACATTCCCGCGTTAAATAAACGTAGATTAAAAATTGGAATTATCAATACTTCTTCTTCACTCTCGAATTTTTTATATTGGAAATTGCTACATTATTTAAAATAGTGTGCCAACATCTTTTACCCACTGTAATTATTTATAATTTCTTCTCATGATTTCTCAGTCCCTGATTGAATCTAAAATTCGCAAAAGCAATGCGTCCTTTCTCTCTGAAACCATGACACGATATTATCTCCTATAAATTTCCACTTTCATTTGCCATTCTGCTTTACTTTATTGTCATACATATCATTCGGCACCTCTCCTTTCTTCAATTTCCCGTTAGTAAATCAATAAATCAATGATCACGTAATCCTCTTCATTCTCTGATTTTAATGTTAAACCGAAGAAATTTAAAGAAGTTCCATTATAAATACAATGGGACAAATGGACACGAAGGAACTGGCCTTCAGTTTCACAATGCGCTTGATCTTGAATCTCGAAGCCGGTGTTTCACTAATCATCGATTCGATTGTTAATCGAGAACTAGCCATTCGCAGTTCCCGAACAGTCGTCTGATAACAATGAGGTTTAATCGATGGCAAGCTTAATTTCGTCGAGGGAACCAGCGCCTTCTCCACTTAAAGAGCCCCGAGTTGACCAACGATAACAATGGGAACGAAAGTTCTCTAAGCGAAAACGTATTTCATGCGAGTGCCGGGGAAACTCGGTGGTGAACGAAGCTGCAGGAAACTTCATCGCGCTATCTACGTTTCGCCAAGTAATTTTCTCTCGAAACGAACATAAACGAACGAAGCTGAATTGCGAATCCTTGAGAGCGAACGTCTTCAAGAATATTGAAAATTGCGATCGAACTTACGGAGGTAAGATCGACTCGCGTCGATAAATCGAACGATCTGCCACTTGTCACTTACAAATTGATGTTTATCTATTTTGTCTGAATGATACTTCGTTGACTGCATTAAGTTGAGCCTAGAATCGAGATCAGTTTCACCAAGTTGCGTGGTAACTTGCCGTAAATCTTACTACACTTGCTTACGCTGAGTAATTTTCGTATTTGTACTTGAGAAAATACTTAGGAAAAAGGGAGAGTCACGCATGAAAATATGCAATTTTCCCCTAAACATTTTGCTCGTTAATGTCTTTGTAAATTAGCCTCGTTAAACTCTTGCCTTGTATATCACTTTAGATAAGCGAGCAATTACGTCTGAATTAATAGCGCTTGCTCGGTGCTTTTTATTACTTACTTTTTCATGATCGGTGTAATTGAAAATTGTTGAAGTAAGAAATAACAGAAAGGTAAAAAAAAAAAAAAA